ACTGCTAAAATCTGAAAGACAGAATGAGCTATATTGAAATTCTGGTCAAGATATCTCAAATGAAATGCTTGAGAATAGAGTGAAGCTTATTACATCTATTATTCTAATAAGTGTTAGAGATAATATTTCAAAAAGAAAATCTTCTGAGTATTTAAAACCTTGATGAAATGAGAATATCTCATCTAAAAGAAAAGAATTAGCTACTGCTAGAAGAGATTGAAAAAATGATGTAATATCTGATGAAGAGTTCAAAGCTGTCAGAAATGAATATTTTTCAGATATCAAAAGAGCTAAAACAGACTGCTGGAATAAATTTCTTGAAGAAGCACAAGAGAAGGAAATTTTTAAAGCTTTTAACTATACTAAAATAAGAAGTGTAGCAAAACTTCCAGCCTTAGAATATGAGTTTCAGAATGAATTATATACAGCAAACTCTTTTGAGGAAAAATGTCAAGCTTTCATGAGAATTCTCTTTCAGAACTCATCAGACTCAGATTCAGAATCAGAGAAAGAGAATATATCACTTCTCAACTACATTGATGAAAATGACTGGGAATGGCCTGATCTTACACAAGATGAATTAGAGTCAGCTATCTTCTCAAGTTCTGTTAAAACTGCTGCAGGTCCTGATTCAATTAATCACTTGATTATTCAAAATACATATTCCTACTTAAAGAATGAATATTTTGAGCTCTTTTTCAATCTCTTGAAAAATGGATATCATTCTGAATGCTGGAGAGAAGCCACTGAAGTGATTCTTGCAAAACCTAATAGAAAAACTTCAATTCCTAAGTCATATAGAGTAATATCTCTATTGAACTGTTTAGAAAAGGTTTTAGAAAAGATAATAGTAACTCAACTATCTTTTATAAGCTCTATAGATGATTCTCTTTTATTCAGTGAACAAATGAAAGGTAGAAAACAGTGTTCTGCAATTGACACTGTTCTCTCAGTTGTTCATGATATTCAAATAGCAAAGCATGAGGGTCTGGTCTCAACTGCAGTTTTTATTGATATAAAGGGAGCATTTGATCATGTTTCAAAGTCAAAGTTAATTCAGACATTGAAGATATTAAAACTGCCACTTTCTCTAATAAAATGAGTTAACTGTTTTATATCTAAAAGAATTATACAACTCTTCTTTGATGGAATGAAACAAGACAAGACTGAGATAAAAATAGAAGTATCACAGGGATCTTCAATCTCACTCATTTTATTTGCAATATACACTGCATATCTATTCAAAAATAGAAATATGAGAATAGTGCGAT